TATAATCTGCATATTTCTGTGCTGATATTTACAGTGATGATACCTCATTGGAATGACCTACTTATAATACATGATTTTCTCCAGTCAGTGACAATGACAATGACGTCTCCTGTCCCCTTACTGGCATCGATGCTGCTGGTGTCTCCTCTTCAGCAAACAGACATATAACAGATATCGATGAGACTATAACCATTTTTATATGTAGATGTTTAGTGAAAATATACTGCCAGACAGCTGTTTTCATTTTTTTTTTTTTTTTTGCTGTATTCTGTTTAATCTGTCCTATCCAGTTAGACTTTGTTTTTCAAAGAACACAGCTGTCAGAAAAATGATCAGCGATAGTCTTGTTAGCAAAGAAATTACTAGAACCTTCTGGCAAAGGTTAAGCACAAGCATTATTTAGAATGGAAACTGTAGGGGGCGCACTGATATTTTTTATTCTGGAGGGTGTCAGCCACTCTCCAGGACTCGGCAGTGAAATCCCCAATTGTCCCCTGGGGTGAGGAGGGGGCTGTCCGCATTTTTCAGTTTTTCTGTCTGCAGGCTGCTAGCATCTTCGGGCTGGAGGAACGCTCCGCGAGCAAAGAGGTGACTGCATAGGGGGGGCTGGTCACATGGTCACATGGTCACATGATACATGATACATGTCCATGTCACTATGTTAGCAGAAAGGCTCTATCCAAATGAAAATATGCATATTTAATTTAAATAGGATTAGTATACAAGGTAACAAATATCTTTGATTTTTTGTTCCAGAATATGGACAACACCTTCCTCCAGATGTTTTATGAGCTGCTTCTGCAAAGGCTGCTCCTCGGGGCAAACCTGGCACTCCCCGCTCAGACCCCCACCCCCGCTCCTGTCCCAGCACCCCCCACTGGCCGCTAACATCCCCCGGAGCCATCAGGACCTGCAGTCCTTGTGTTGTGTATCTTCCTGGCCGGAATAAAACCGTGTTCCCCGTCCCTGCTTACCATAAACACCAGGATTACCTGTGTCACGGCAACTGAACAACACGCAAGCAAACAGTGTTTGGCTGCTCTGACGATGCTATTGTACCTTTGGAAAAGTCCCCCTATAAAATGCAGTTGTCATTTTTATTGTCATGCTAATTATCCAGTGTGATGTTTCTATCTGTTTTATGTTATGAACAAAGTTCAAAGATCTGACCGTACTGTACCTACCATGCTGTACCAAAAGCACCTTCCTCAATTGTGATAATTCAGATTCAGCGATGTCAGAATACACAATAATCATTAAAAATATCATAAATACTATTACGACTTATACTACCACTCATAAAAAAAACAGCAACAACATTAATAATAATAGTAATAATAATAATAATTATTATTATTATTATTATATCCAGGTGGAATGGCACTGGGCATGCAGCCTGATCCGGGAGGCAGAGGGTGCAACACCGGGGATGCCCTCAAGGGGGACACCTTCAGCAGGCACAGGACAGGCACACAGTCACGCAATGTGGGCAATTTAAATAGCAACGTCACCACAGTACTGTGCTT